ACTGATACAGGTCCTGAAGAAAATTTTTCGAAGTATTCAGACAGTCACAAATTTTTTGAAGTCTTCAGACAGTCACGATGTCTAGAGATTTGATGGACTTGCAGGAGCTGTCGATGAAAAGGGTGAGGATTTAGATGCAGATCAGTTTTTTGAGAAGAACACAGTTTTGGAATTGGGAAGGAAAAAAATAAGGAGTCTATTTAGAAGACCCAGAAGTCAAAAAAAATCATCAAAATGTTTTGGTGTCAAATGTTTTCGCCAGATTAAAAGGAGATCTATTTGGGATTAGACCATACAAGAAAATGATGAATCCAGGAAAGTCTTAAAGAAGTAGAGAGATCTTGTTCTGATTTTTCTTCTCAGGTTGTTGGATCAGTGGCATTTGTTGGGTTTTTTTTGTTCTTTTTTTTCCTAAGTGGAGTTGGTTTTGATTCAGTTTATTGCTTGAAGATTGATTGTATTGGGTGAAGCTATTAGGTTGTTTTGCTTGTTGGGCTCTTTTACATTGGTAGGGGAATTTGCTTTCTGGTGTTTTCTCTTGCTTGTTGGGTTTTTGGTTCGGAGGTGTGTGTGTGGGAGTTGGAGTATTTTTTCTTTTTCTCTCTTGGTGACTTCTGGTCACCTTCCTTGTAATATTTCTTTTTTCTTTTAGTAAATTTTATTTTATTACTTAATTTTGCTGATAAAAAATATTTTATTACTAAAAAATGTCATGTTTAACTTTGCAGAGTATGTCAACCCTGAGAAATATCACTACTGTTATGGCTGAGATCAGATAACCCCTTTAACATAGATATCTGGACAGGGAAACAGTTTCCTAATTGTGTCAAAGTAAGCAGAGTCTCTATACAATCCCTGCTATTTCTGCTACATAGAGGGATCCTGTTGCTGATTCAGACCATCTATCAGATAGGAAACCTACTTGGTTGACCTTATGTTAACCCCACATTCCATATTAGCCCTATACTCATCCATGCATTAACATTTTGCCCATCCAATAATAGATATCCATAAGAAAAGATTCTGCTTTGAAGGCACTATTCAGCATTGGGTGATTATTTCAATTTTCAAAGAGTTGGGTGGCTTCAAACAAGCATGGTTCAAAGTATTGATACTCTCAATACATAAAATTTGTGTATGAGATGAAACTCATTTTTTTATTGTTTTGTCTGATATTTTGTCAAAACTTTTATCACATATTATAGTATTATATAAAATAAACCAAACTCAAACTATTAGTATTTATTGTTTTGGTAACCCAAGATATGATACAATACGATGCACCTGATACGGGGCTTATCATATCAAGCCCTGTTTGCTCCATCCTTTATCGTTTTGGTTTTCACATTGCTGTATATCTGATTCTTGCTTTTGTTCTTGAGAGAACCTCTCCCTCAAATTCACCATTTATCAAAAGAAAAAGGTTCTATTTTTAATACATGGCAAGGTCTTCTGGGGCAAAGTCTTTTGCATGTATAAAGGGCAGTTTAGAGGAATTTAAAGATTTCTTTTAAGCTGCAAACCAAGTTGCCACATGGAAGATTCCTAGGTCATTTATGGAAGCTCACATAGTGACCTAACTAGCAAATCCTTTTCCCAATATATTGGTTTTAATTTTATTAGTTTTTGCATTTGCTTTGATGGTAATAATCTTTAAAAGACATACCATTTATTATTCCTTGCTATCGTATTCACAATTTCCATCTTATTGATGATTTTGACTCCCTTTCCTGTACATTCCTGTTTTCAGCTGAATTGAAGAAGAAGAATACCAAGGCAAAACCGCCATCCATTAAGACACTTTTTGGTAGATTTTTCCTCTCTTTCCTTGTACTTGCTTGAAATATCTATTTATTTCTTTCTGAAATTTCTCTTAGGTATGGTAGTTTATAATAAAATACTTGATACCTATTGATGAAGTTAAAACCACATGGGCTGTCTGTACATGTTATAACAACTTGGATGAGTCCATTGAAAGAAATCTCATCAAACTTGATGGCAAGTTGATATTCTGTCTGTACATGTTTACGCCTTAAAAGGATTAGTCTTGGGTAAAACTTTTAACCACATGGGCTGTTGCTTTCTAGGAATTTCAACTTATGGTTGGGATTATCATTCCTTGCCCAGCCCAGAAAGCCTGGCCTGCACCCGGTACTTCTAGGCCTGGCCCATGTATCTTTAGGCCTGGTCTATATTTCAGACACTGTGTGCAGGCTGTACCTGGTTTTACTTGAAGTTCCTTATACTAGGTGACAAGCCTGGCCCAGCCAATGATCACCCCTACCTTCTGGATAAAGTTTTTATGCAGTGGATGCTGACTATATCTACACTTCAAAAAGAAAATTGTTGCTTTTACAATAATTACCTGCTGAAATAGTTTACTATATTTTTTATACAAACCCTCTTCATTTTACCTGAAACCTACAGAAACTACTTCACTTCTTCTGATGTTAAATTTGTTTGTCCAGTTTCAGAAGAAGTACAGGAGGAAAAGTAGCTTACCTAATTATGTTCAGAATCATCTGAGACCACTTGTTTCAAAAACATTGATTAAATTCTAGTATATGGGCTGGTTTTTATTGAATAAAGCTGTATGATACCCATTTCAAGATTTTCTTTTATTTCATTTGAAATATTTGTCAAGACATGTACATGGTGTTGGTATTTGATGCAATATGTTGATGCCATGCTTTTATTTGTTTTTTTATAGTTAGTAGCTTTTCAAATATAATGGAACTTTTACCATTGCTTGATGTAATGATAAAATCTCGGACTGACAACTGTGAGAATGCGGGTTCAAGTCTGAGAGCAACATTAGATAATGGCCTTTTATGGTTTGTTTGTTCTGATGTACTAGTTATGTGTTTTAGAAGACATGTTATTTATACTCTGAAGTTTCTAAGAATAGTCAATGTTGCTAATTTGAGTATTATATTGTGTCCAAACGGGATTGCTTGGTATTACAGGTATCTGGGTATCTGAGCCTTTTGAGTACATCCATGCTGTAATTTTGTTTCTGTGATAAAATGTTTCAAAACCCCCTTCTCTTAAAAAGGAAAATCCTTTCTCAATGACATATATTCTAGTTTCAGGAGCACACTTATTAGAATAAAGATTCTGTACTTATTGGTTTTGATTCAGATGGACTAGTAGTAAAGGGGATTAGTTTTATGTTTTCCTTCAAGGATTGAAATGTCCTTAACGTCTTTGTGATGTATCTATTCTTTTTTTTTTCTTATTAATTGATCAATTTTCAGTTACTAAAAACAAAATCTCTTTTTTAATGGCCCAAGTTCTCAATGTCCATTCCAACTTTCCTGGTATAAAGCCTACAATACTCTGTATTCTCAGCTTGCTTGCATTTATTTTTTAAAGATACCATTTTTATCAATGCTATATATTTGTAAGTTGGCTGAAACTGTGCTGAGTCACATCTGTTGATGGCATTTGGAATTTCTATACTGCAAGTTCTATATACAAGAATAAACAACACACTAGGAAGAAAGAAAAGTAATTCCAAAGATGCATACTTTTTATAGGAAAAATTCATGGGATTTTTATTTTCTAGTATTGAAATTACAGGGCATATGAATGATGAACTATCAGGTGTTGCTGCCTGCCATTTTACACTACTTTTTATCAAGATTTTTTTTTTTGGTGTGTGTGTGTGTGTTTGTGTGTCATTGGGTGACAAGTCATTTTTCTGTTAATGATTCCAAGATGGGTTGTTTTAAATATTTATGTTTAAAACTTCTTTAATTTCTATCTCATTTTTGTTTACTCATGTTGCAGATGATGAGTCAGATACAGCTAGTGAGCAACCAGAACCTGTGCAAGGGAGCTTCCTGAACCTCTTGCCTCCCCAATTAGAAGTCTCTCCGGACCAACACAGTGAGTCCCCATAAACTCGCTCAGACTTCCTCCAACTTCAGATGGCCAAGAAGCTCCAACCCATCACCCACCAATTAAATGACCAGAACAGTGGATACTATTTTCCTACCTTCTGCTGCTTCTGTTGTTTTTTAGTTTGTTGATATCTTGGCAAGTGCTTGAGCTCTATTGCAGTGGAAGTTTGAGGACATAATCCCACCAAAGTAAGGGTAGGATGGGGTCATTTTTGGAGTTCATCCTTGTGCCTACTTGGATCAGGATATTTGTAAAATTTGTTAATTAATGATAGTAAATATCAATTCTTTTACTATTTATTGCTCGTAAAAACTCTCTCTCTCTCTCTCACACACACAGCGACAGGGATGTCAATGGGCTTCAATGACTCTCCACTCCTCCCACCCGAAACAGACCTGACCCAACTCAATAACATGAAATTTCCGAACCCAACCCGGCTTGACGCATTTCCAAAATCCAAGAACAGTTAATTTAAATTGGAATTCGGTTTAATGACTAACGTTTCACTTCCTCCGTAGTGAAAGAAGAAAAGCAAATCCTAAATTACAAGGTTAGAAGTCTACCAAAGTGCAATAACCTATATGTAAATAGGAGCATCTTCTGAATGATACATCAATCCATTCAGTTTCCTGTCTTTTTTGTCAAAATAATATTTGAAGGCAATTACTTTTCTATCCCACACGGCCACACCCATGGTAAGTTGGTAACCTGTCTTGTAGAAGAAGCTCCTCCACAGCCCCCAACAACCAAAGTTCTTCCGAGCCCATCGAGTGGCAGTTCAACCAAAAAGGAGATGGGCTGTGTGTGTGTTTGCTCTTTTGGTGAGAGTGGCAGAGAGAGAGAGAGTGTGTACTTAGCGTGTAGGAAAGGGGTTTTGTTTCCCATTTTCGTTTACTGATAATGTACCAACTTCTAGTTCCCAGTTTTTTTTTTTTTTTTTTGGCAACGAGAGAACCACCTTGCAGTTGCCTATTACAGGTCCAAGGATTGGTTTTGGTTGATCTGGACCAATAAAAGAGATAGTGGGTTTCGAACCACACCACACCACCTCTGACGCATTCAGTATAGGCGTGGTGTGGTTTGAAACCCAATATCTTATGCTCTTCGTCACGTGACGAGATCTGTTCCTCACAAATGGGCACCTCACAGGCACATCCACCATGCATTGAGAACATCTCCCGTGAATAATAATAGCCAATAAGTATAGGAGATGTTCCCGGTGCATGATAGGATGTGCGTGTGAGGCGCCAAGTGTGAGGAGCAGATATGGTCTCCTTGGCCACACCACGCTCAAAAAATCCACCACATATCTCGTGGTCTCAGCCACGCTACAAGGACTGTAATCCATAGTCCATTCCCGTGTGCCACAGGTATGCTTGAAAGCCTTCAGTCCGTTTGGTTGCTGAGAAATGATGGGATGGGAAAGGATGTGATGAGAAGGGAAATTTTCTTTTTCTCAATCCTGTCACCTATGTTTGGTTGTTGAGACTAATTATCCTGCTAAATCTGTTTTCCGGTGTTTGATTGATGAGAAAATTTTATAGGATTGTTGGATCCATCCCAATTTAACAAATCCATGCGTTCTTACGATACTTGTTTTGGGGACAACGTGGCACAATAGTATTTGAACAATGAAACATGTGAGGTTGAAGAAACCAAAATCCTGGTTTCTGGAGAAGAAAGTATACATATTTCTAGCTCTTCTCAATTTCATTTTGAGTTATTGGCACCTTAACCTAGCATTCTTATCAATATACTACAGCTAAAAACTAGAAAATTAATATCTCAAGATGCCTGTAACCATTAAAAACTATCTTACAGTTCCACAAAGAAAACTAGAAAAACCAGAAAATTAGTATGGTAGAAGAAATTATACCTAAACAAAGAATATGGTAAAAATTGGGTGAACAAATACAATAAGGAAAAGAATCAGCTAAATACGTATTAGTGTTCAATAAAAAAATAAGAAACTGAGCAGTAATAAACATCCTTAACAGAGTAAGAGTCAATAGAAAAAAGAAAAAAAAAAACTGTTGAAACCTTCAGTAGCTCAAAAAAAAAAACCTGAGATCTAAACAATGAGTTCCCAACAATAAATCAAAAATCAAAAACTAAATATAATCACAATTATTGCAAATTTGGAACAAATCAAAAATCAAAGATAACATCAATGAGTTCCCAACAACAAAAAAACGGAAGATCTGTTTCCCAACATAACACCAGAGAGTTCCCAACCACAAAAAACAAAAGATCTATTATAAACACAACAAAAAAAACGCCAGATATGATGAGTTCCAACATTAAAATGAGAGATCTGGTGCTAAGATCTGGAACGATGGTGAGTTGGCACCGGAGATGCCAGATCTGGTGTTGGGATCTGAAGGGGGAACTCGCTCAACAAAAGAAGATGACGGTGAGACGAAGGGGGAACTCATAAAATGAAAGAAGACAAAAACAATACAAAAAAGAACGAAAATTTCAAAGGGATGCCAGATCTAAGCTAACCTTTGAAAGAAATCGCCGAAGATGGCGCCAGAGAGATGACTGTTGGACGGCATGTAGGAAGAACAGACTGTCTTCAAGGTGCTCTCGATAATATTTTCTCACAAATGGCCAAATTTTCTTTTCCCACCGGGGTCTCACCATTTTGGTGCGACCCCACGTATCGATTTTTGAGAACCCATGTCCCACCTCTTTCTCTCTCAATCCTAGCTTTTCTTTCAAAACAAACACATGGAAAATAGAATATTCTTTAAAGATGCTTCCCATCCCATCTTTTTCTCAGCAACCAAACGGACCATAAGAGCTAATAGCAGATAAGGACAATTTTTGGGCCAAAGCAATATTTATAATAAAATTTTAAAAATGAGTTAACCTTTTAAAAATAATATAAATTAAGAGCAAAAATACTGTCCATCTTCTACCTCTTGCAATCTATTCATCAGAGCCACCGTCCTCGCCGCCCGCCACCACCTCTGGCAATGACTCAGCCTACCTCCGCCTCCATCTCTGCCCAACTCCACCACCTCCGCTCACCTCGTTTCGAAACACTACCGCTTTAAGGAACTCGAGAAGAGGAAGAACCTAACAATAACGTCTGTTGTTCCGAAATATTATTATTCTCAGTGATCTTATTCAGCAAAAGCAGCTGCTCCCATGAGAAAACACATTATCTTTTGGAGTACAGGATGGTCTGTGCCACGGGAGAATTCACCAGCACCTGCAGCAATTGTTGTTGGTTTTTTTTCTCCAACCCACCAAGCTCCAAACCGACATTTCCCGGTAGCACCTCCCACTCGATGCTTGACTGACATGGCATTGTCTGCAGTGCTCTAAGTTGTGCCTTCAGGAATTCTATGTACTTGTACGCCTCTTCTAGCAACATCGCCATGCTTATCTTCTTGTCCCATGGAATCAGCTTCAGCATGCACCTCGTCCTGTCACCGATCTTCTTCCTCCGTTGCCTAGCCAATGTGCTCATGTGCACTGCAGCCGATGACGGAGGGCTTCGCTTTGGCGCCTGTAGCCAAGCGATGGAACTAAGGTTCGGTAACGCGAAGTTTCTCACTATAGCTTCCAGGTAAGAGTCGGTTGATGACGACGACTAGAGTTACCTGAGGAGAAGATTCGACGATGGCGAGCTCGTTTTGTTGCATATGAGAACTAGTTGAAATTCCCAGATCCTTAGAAGCTTGTTCGATAGAACAGAGGTCCCGTAACCGACGAAATCTCCAATCGCAAAGAGGCAGAGTCTGATCGAAACTTTCTGATCTGAAGCTGCACATTTCGATGGGATTGTCCATCATCAGTTGCTCATCGAATGGCTCGGGTTTGGGGAGTATTATCTTCTACGAGTTTATGAAGCTGATAGAGCATTTCGGTGGTTGATCTCCGTCTGCATCGCAATCAATCATATTTTGTTCCGAGAAGGCATGAGAGAGTCACCGAAGAAGCTGAAAGCCACAGGATCTGACGTTGAAATTAGCGGAATACCGATATCAAATGGAGTAATTCCTTGATTTATGCCGGATGCAGCGGGGAAATGGAAACCCACCGCCCTTGGAATGTTGTGGTTGAAGAAACCATCTTCGTTTCCCGGTCGAGTGAAGGCGGTAGGCAAAAGAAGGCCAGATGCTTTATAAACAGAATTTGATGAAATATCTCTCTCTATGTTCCTTGTTCACACTTCACACAGTTCGCAGTTGTTGCTGACAACGAAACCGAAAATACAGAAACTTTGGGAAATAAAATGAAGAGATGAACAAGGGATATCTCCTTACTCCTTCCAATCGTATTCACTGTTGAGATTTAAAGAGAGCGGAGTACAAAACGACAATAGAGGGATGGAAAGCAGTGCTGGGAGAGAAATGGAATAAGCTTATGGCGGAGTACAAGGAGGTTTCTTTGACGAGTCTTCTCCGGCAACGTTGCCGAAGGCGGAGGCGGAGGTGTTGCCAGAGGTTGCAGGAGGCGATGGCGGGCGGTGGTGTTGGTGAATAAATCGGAAGAGGAAGAAGATAAACAGATTTTTTGCCCTTAAATGATATTATTTTTAAAAGATTAAACTATTTTTGAAATTTTGTTAAAAGTATTACTTTTGTTGATATTAGGGTCCAAAAGTTGTCCTTATGTGCAATTAACCCAAACCTTATATTTTATATGTATTTTGTATGTATTTACGCTATACATATTTGCATTTGTATTGCTTCCAAATTGAGCCTTAGTTTTTACCGTTGCAATTAGACAATTTCCATTTCCGTTGTTCTTCTCCCACCCTCTTAGTTGACTCCGATGAAGTTATGATTCAGCTTGGGTGATCCTCGTCACAAAGGAGAGATGCTCCAGAATGCGCTACGGTTGAGGGTTCGGCCGATGTATACGTGCTGCAGTGGTCGATTCAACTAGAGGACCCCCTTGAAACGAAATGGTGGTTGAGCAACTTGCCCAAGGTGTGATGCTCCCCGATATTAGAAAGGAAGCCAGCAATCACACCAATAGCTTCCTAGAGAGCGCGGCTCTTCATCAAGTCATGGCGGTGAGTTCGGCTTTACTTGTTGTTCCTTGCTTCTCCTCTTTTGTGCTAAATATCCGATGTCTTGTAGTTGTTTGTTCGATCGTCGGCCTTGTCGAACACCTCCGTGGGTTGTGACGATTTTATGAGTTGCGAGAGATGGAGAATGCCCAGCTAAAGGCAGAGTTGGCCAAGCTGAAGCGCGGCGTCGAGGAGAGGGATGATACTGTCCGTAAGCTGAAGGGTCGCGTCCACGATCTGAAGGAGGCACGAGATGTGCTGAGGAGG